TCATGGCTAAACTCAAAGATCCTAGATCCTTAATTTCTAAGTATTAGATGAAAACTGACTGGTATTTCTCTGTCATAATAGTTTTCTCATTAATTTTACTAGTTTTCAACATACTGCCAACTATTAGCAATGAAAGAAATTGGATATTTTCTTGTATTGTGCTGTGTGTAAGAGAGGGAAAATTGGGATATCATAAAAAACGCATGTAGCTGCTGCTGTGGTGATTTATCCCTTTGCTACTCCCATATGCTCAAACTTTAGCTGGATAATTATTTAAGAGCTCTGAAGAAATTGCCTGTTACTTTTTCCTAAGGAAAAGGCCCTGATACAAGCCCCCCTTCCATGAGCCATGTTACAGAAGGCACCAACTCTCCTGCCCTCTCAGTGAAGAGAGACAGAACACACTTCCAGATAGCAGTTTAGATCATAGCTAAAGACTATGCTAAAGAGATGGCCTCCTTTCTTCATTACACAAACATAGGAAAGCTCAGTTTTAGACTTTTGACACAGCAATTTAAATAAATTTGTTCCATTAAATTTCCTTTTGCCACAAACATGAAAAGTCCACTATTCTTGCTGAGACTCCAACAAAATCACATTTTAATTTGATTTCTATATGAGATTAAACATCTGTATCTAATGTGCATTCATATATATACATATGCCACGTCTAAAACAATGTAATATTGTTGAGACTTTAAGTAGTACAAGCCAAAGAGAATTGAATAATAGTAATAATAAATTCAAAAGGGAATAGCTTTGAGAGCAATTCATAGGTTGTGCAGCCCAAGGGGCTGCTATGATCATCTCTAATTTTCTGCACAAGGAACATAGATTTTTCACACAGTAAAAACCTCAATCAAGACCAGTGAATTGTAGCTAAAGCACAACATAGTTTTCAACAATATATCCACTTTTTCTAGTATTAATTTCCAACCACTAAATCATGTTATGGCTCTGCTACCTTCTGTAGTAGTGATTGCCATTATAATTACCTGCAACTCTTAATTTTTGTCATGGGTGATTTTTAATTTTTAGAGCATTATTAAGAATGTTGCCTAGCATTATCTGAGAACTGGTATAAACAGAAGGGTATCATATACAAATTTATATAAATCATAGACAACAAAGACGGTATGGGATCAGACAGACATGAATAATATTAATAACTATATTATTATTAATGTGGGAACAAGAATCCAGTTTGAAATGAGCTATGAATTTGAAATTTTTGTCCTCCAGTACTTACAAAACTTTATTTTTCAATATTACAGAAATTTTTTTTTAAGGGCATTTAAAAAAATATACAAAGGTTTGTCTGGTAGAAATCTATCTGTTCTTCCCTTGGATACATTAGTTAGTCCAGTGTAAGATACAATCTTCTTGAGCAAGTCTTTCCTCTCACAAAACAAAGCCAAAAAGGAGAAAACACATAAGTTTTCAAACTTCATTAGTATTTCAAAATTGTTCCTGTTCTGCAGCCCGTGGCTGATTTTCAGAGTTAGAGAGATTTATGAAAAATGACACATATAACTTATTTATTTCCTCTGGCTACTTGTGAAATCTTATTTTAATGACCATGCATACTAGAATTATTACCACTATACTTCAGGATTTCAGTAGAAGAGATTAATCCTTTGAGCTCTTTCTATTTAAAATGGCTTTAACTTCTGAGGAGCTGCTTGTGATCGCCTTATCATTTTTTCTTCAAAACTCAGAGATTCTCTGGTTGTTTTACATCAGTATTCTCAGTTCATTCCCTGCACTAAGATTGCCAGTCTTGAAACAACTGTCAAGACCATTCAAGCAAAATTGCAAATTTTCATTTCAAGGTTTAGAAGCTAAGCTGTTCTTTCTTTTATTACTTTATAATATGATGCTACATGCTGTGTTATACAGGAAAGTGATATGAATAGTGAAATACTTAATTCTCACTTTTTAGTCTGAGTTTTCTTTTTTCCCCTTAGCTGAAAACCTTGTACTACTCCTACCCATTTCTCAAAAGTAACAAGGTCTAAAAAGAACTGCAGGTTTTGATTATTTTTCCATTTCCACAACCATTCTTAAATATGGGAAAACATTTATCATCTTCAGCTAATGAGTACTTTGTAAATCCAATTCACTAACAGGATATACCTCCTGGACAAGGAGCAGCAACACTTAAAAGCAAATGTAAAAAATACTTTGTTACCTTTATAATGTACTTTCGCCCCAATATCTGGAGTGACTTCCATTTTCTTTGCACAATAATTTTTCTTATGTCTCTGTCACAAAGCTATCAGCCTCTCTGTTGCTAAATCCTTAACCTTCCCAACACTGTCACTAATAAAATGGGCAGCTCAGCCAACAATACCCCAAGAGCACTCAGTAACTCTTTTCCACTGAAAGTCATGCTGGAAAGATTCTGTTACTAGGACTCCCACTGCAATATCTTCATTATACTTGTTTCTCATGTTTACATTTGCTCTCATTCAAACAAAAGCATACACAAATGACAAAAACAGCAATAAAAATTCAATAACGGATAGTTAATGAGACCTGATATAGACTTACCTCTTAAGTAGCAAACTCCATTCCTCTTTCAGAAAAAGAAAACATGACTTTGATACAATTCACTTTGACTTGAAGAATAATAATAACTACAATGTATTATACTAAAGATATTTCTGGAAATTATATCTATGCAACACACTGCAAGGCCAGCTGTAAATTTATAGCCTACCCTGTATTTTTCATTCATCTTACACTTCCTGAACTCACTCTACCACTAATCCTCTTCTATAGAAACTGTATTAATAGGATTTCAATGTTGAAAATATGTGGAACACTAAGAAAGAAGTGAATAAGACTCTTTTCAGTTCAAGTGTACATTTCAACTGCTCTGCAGAGAAACTGAAATGGATTAAAAAGCAAACGGTGATACTTATTTACCTTCTAATATACATTTGGATGCAAGAGAAATTAATTGAGAGATAAATGGGGTTGAATAGCATGGTAAAGGCTTTGCTATCCTCAAGAAACACCAACAAAAACCAATCTTTTAAACAGATACAAATGACATGAAAAATGCATTAACAGTGGCTTTGAGGCATGAAAAGAGATGTCAGTAGACTTGGATACAGAGATCCAAGGAAAAACAATCAAAACACTCGTGATGAAGCTGGATAGTCAAAGGCAAGGCTAGAGAAAAAAGCCAAGCCCCAAAACCCAATAACCAAACCCTGCAGCAGTCAGTCATCAATATTGTGAGAGACCAAATATATGCTCTCAAGATAAACTGTAGATACCAATTAACACAAAGCTTGATAACACCTGAAAATATCCACTGAAGATAATCTTTTGAAATTTCTCTGTATCATCATGTCTCCATTCTTCTTACCAACATGGGAGGAGTTAAAGATTCACTTCTAAATGGCAGTTTTTGACCAAATAAAGAAAGAGTCCGAGGACACGATTGATGCTAGTGGCATGCCAAATGTAATGTCTCCGTGCTGAATACATCTTCTGACAACAGTGGATCAAACAGGAGAAGAAACATCCAGAGAATGAACCAAAATAATGAAAAAACAAATAATTTTGAGAAATATTTCTGTTTCTGGTGTTTTTCAAGAAATTTGAGATTAAGTTGTACATTAAAATAAAAATGACCAAAACTGAGTGGTTGAACCAAAGCACCTAAATTTGCTGTAGAATTCCTCCTTAAAGTTACAAGACACTTTGTTTCAGGTACTTTCTTGAAAAAAATTAAATAACACAAACTGTGAAAAGAAGAAAAAAAGGTGAGGCACATAGCAAGATGACTATGGCTGTTTTAAACAGAAACCTAAAGGATCTGAGAGCCTTACTCACTCTCATATTACGTGCCCAAATCTAGTTTTGCACTCCAGTACATTACAGATAATATTAAAAAAAAAAAAAAGACAATTTGTAGCTTCAGAAAAGCTCCAGACACCCATCTTTTACATTTTGCCCTATTCTATGTCCAAGTTTTAGATAAAGCAATAGTTTTGCTATTTGTTGTGACTTGCCAAAAAAAAAAAAGAAAAAAAGAAAAAAAAAGTGGTTCTTTGCCTTGGTTCCAAGAAGCTGCCTACTCCTAGTGACCTTAGAGAACTGGTGTTGCCTATTTCCTCATCAAGGTGCAGTACCAAGCAGGTTTTCTGGCATCTTTAAAGTTCTCCGAATATCTCAAGGTCTTTTAGCTTCAGGAAATACAAACTAATGCTCCAGTGATTTTGCTTTTCACCTTGTTCTGATCGCAAGTTGAATGTGAAATTCAGAAACTCATATGAACTACATCAGTTAAAGAAAGTAAGTTTCTAATGTAACAATGAACAGAAGTGAATTATCATGGCTCAGAGCCAAATATGCATTGATTTATTTCTGTTAGTGTTTGAAGTTTTGTCATGCTGTAATGCTATGTTTAAACCTTCACTGTATGTACAGTAGGCACAATAAGGTGGAATTTCAAGGAACTAGAAATATGTTTGAAAGAGGATCTGTTGCTTTTGCCAACCTCCCTGTCTTCTACCCCGTACTTCCACTTACAAAGTGCCCTTCCTTCTCTGAGTCATTTAAGCCTCAACGACATATTGCATCAGACTCCTGGAAAAAGCATTTCCATAGACTGGTCTACTGGTGAACAATCACTTCTTGGACAAGGATTGCTGTTCCAGACTATGCCCAACAGACCGTGTCAGTTGCTGTGTTGACAAAGACAAAAATGAAACTAAAAACCTTCACCTAAAATGCATGAAATGTAAACATGAGCACTGTCACTAATATCTTAGTGATTGAAAACTTTTGAAAACTACCCACATTTATCAGTCTTCTAGAAGAAGAAACAAGACAAAGACATTTACTCAAACCCAGCACATATTTATCTATTTATTTATTTATTTCTCTGTGTCACAGCCTTCTTTCAGTGATATTGAATACAGAGTGTGAGTCTGCATGATTCCATACATGTGCACTACCACTGTAAATGTATTTTGGCAATCTGCTTTTATTTTCAAAATCTTTTTCAATTCACGTGTAATAGGAAGGGCCACTTAGAAAAGAAAGCTACAAAATGCTATGATGATGGCTTATCTTCAGTGATGACTCTTCCTGGCTATTACTCTCTAATGTTGATTCCTTCTCTCTTTTCTCTCTCCAATTTTGTGGAGAAAAATTGCACTATCCTGAAAGAGGTCTTGTTACTATGTGATTTTCTGGACCATGTCTAACATCTTTGAATCCAGCTATTGCCTATCCCTCTTCTTTAACATCCCTTTGCTCTTTATTCCAAGGTTCTACATGATTGCTTACCCCATTTATCTTATCCTGCCTCATACCTTTTTGTCCAAGAACCAAGTACTGCACACTCTGGGATTGTTTTCTACCCAAGATAAATAAATGTTGTCTTCCTCTCTCTGATTCTACCAGAGTTCTGATTTTGGGTTAGGTTGCAACTTCACTCCATTTGCTCAGTTTTACTTTAAAGAACTGTTTCTTCTGTGATATTACAATAAAGTACATGGATACAACGGCTTGGTAGAAAGGCATGACCATGGACCAAACAGAAACAATGACCAGCCACCGTAGAAAGCCTTGTGTGCTACTTTCAAAATCACTTCCACTAGTTTGTTAAGGTGACAAAACTGTGCAGAAAATAATGCTTCAACATGGAAGTCTCATTTGAATTCACTTTTTTCCCTTATTCATTAAAGCAAACAAAAAAATGCATTTAGAGAAACGTGGCCTTGTCAGTTTGTAGGGTGAGTTTAAACCACCCCTCGCAGCTGCGTCTACGTTGCAGAGTGTTGCTGACACAGCAGTGCAAGGATAAGCAGGAAAAAGCACTCCCCAGCTTACACAACTTTATCAGCAAATCCTCCTGGTCTGAGTGCAGCTAAGTTAGCAGGGGAGTGCTGTTGTCAGCTTAGTTACTTGTGTTTAGCATCAATCCATACTTTCTCATCTATCATCAGAAAGAGTTCTTTTCCCAAAATGCACTGCACCTGCACAGAAAAGTCTACCTGTGTAACCACACCAGCACAGCTGTACCAGCAGAAGCTTTCCAGAACAGAGCTGAAAAGCAAATTGGTACCTGTCCACACAGCCCACCAGCTACCACACTAAACAAACATCTCAGTGTCTACTTTGTTCAAAACATTTCTAGTGCAAGCTACAACACTCCCATTTCTGATCAGCCAAAAGCATGGCAACATTTGTACATTTTAGAACATAGAGAAAATTCCTGAGCATCTTCAATAATATTTACCAACTGTACACAGTTACTTGATTCTGAAAAATGGTCAAGAAAAAAGAAAACAAAGGAGGGGAAAAAGGAAAAAAAATGTTAAAAAAAAGGGAGAAAAGGAAAAAAGAAAGATGTCCACAAACCTCTCTGTAGCTTAATACATTATTTGACCATACTGGCAACAGACCTCCTCTTAACTATAAATTCGTGCATGCAAACAGCATGAAACAGAACAAATACTACAGCAGACATTTAAAAATTTCTTATTGCTCTGAAATAACAAAAATTCCCATACAAGTGGTAACTGAAAAATTACTGCCATCCAAGTAAGGCAGAGCTTAGTTTATACAGTTTTGCAGACTTTGAAATAGCTGATCTGGGTGTTTGGATGCTCTTGAAGACTGTGCTCATTGGCTGCAGTGAGTCCCAGCAGTGACTGCAGCGTTGTTGTGCTCCTTGAGCGCACCTGGACTCTGGCAGATCTCCTTCTCAAACAGAAGGAGTGGAACAGTGGAACCTGTACACAGCCTCAGCTGCCCATGTCACATATCCATAAGCAGAAAAGTTAAGCAGGACCACTGCTAAAATACATGTTCAGACCACATTCTCCTTCCAAGTACTGTATTGCTTCTTGTGATACTCAAGTCAGTACTATTTTGTAAGCCCTCTTCAAGGACACACTCTTTGTGGTCAGATCACCTTGAGTTATGGGCATAAACAATTGTACCCAACTTAATGATGAGGTCTTGAAAGGTTCCTCCTTCCGGATTTTGCATTTCCAGAACACAGGTTTGTGTAAGAGATAAAATAAAACATGGGGTAAGGAGAAAATATAAAAGTTAATGGAAAGGGAATGGAAACAGTGTCCTTGCCTACTAGAAAGTCAACAGCAGAGAGAGCCCAGTCCAGCTCTGTGAGACTTCAGCCCACGGGTCTAAACTGGCAGCAGCCCTCCACAGTAGCAGACAAATGCCCTTGCAGTTCTTGATACAAGAGTAGCTCCATTTGCAGGTCAGACTTATTCACATGAACAACCAATGCAATAGTTAGTTGTTTCCAGTACAAAATTCTGCAACACAATAAAAGCTTAAAGACAAGGTAACATACACTGAATATAATGAAAACTTAATAATGAAGTTAAGGTTGTACTGACCTGATTACATAACTCAATAAAACCTCCTCTGCTAAAATGAAGTTCCACGTGGCTGCACCAGACTGACACAAAAGTTAAACGGCGTCACTTCAGAATCCAGGTCAACTGTCACAAGGATGACAGATGGCTGGGGCTGTCTAGTCTTAATCTAACTACATTTCCCTTTGACAAATATCAACAATGAACAAATGGAAAGAACTGAAACACAGTTTTAACATCCATATTAATGCTAATGGTAGAATGCTTTATGGATTTATCACATTTTTGACTGTCACAACTGAAAGTACATCATTTTTGTATTCTAACGGCAGCAGGTCTAATTTAAATTTATCTTGCTACGACCAAGCAAAGTTCCACTCATGATTTTGGAGATTCCACTTCACTTTAGCTAATAGACATAGATCATATTACATTTATGTTTCTTGTGTATTTCTTTAATGCTGATAAAACTCCAGGTTCAGAATTTTAAGAGGGATCCTATTTAAAGGACACAAATAGATCATACTACCCATAGCATATTTATCTATAAGTGGCATTGAATTTACAGCTTTCACCTGTGGACTGTGATCTAGAAAGATCTATGAGACATTTTATTTTTGTCAGCTCTTAGAAGTAAAAATCCCAAAAGTAAATCCCACAGAGGACAGAAAACCCCTGTAACTCACCACTGTTTTCCCAGGAGCCATACTCCAAAGAACAACATTAACCCATACCTATTTTGTTGGCAGAAATGATGTATCCTTGGACCAGAATTGCTGAGAAATCTACAGAGACATATAAACACTATCAGCCTCGTATCATCCCAAAGCCATAAATGAAGTGCGTACAATGATTGGAGAACTTTAAAACAGAGAAAGGTTAAAGCCCCCACCCAGTAACTGGCTCAATAATTGGAAATAATTGTAAAAGGTAAAGTGGAAAAAAAATATGATGGATTTTGTTATAAACTGATGTCCTCTTCCATTAAAGTTTCCTTCTACGGACGCAGCGAGTTTTGCATTTCTTTCTAATGAGTACGCTGAAGAATTAGTCTGTATGGTTCAATCGAAAAGGATTAAAGTCTAAAAACATTCATACGCGGAATGCCACGAAGTGAAACCTCACTCGAGGGGGAACCTCCGGGCCGGTGGTTGGGGCCAGGCCGGCGCCGGGGCCGGGGCCAGGGCCGCCACCGCCCGCCCCCCGCCCCCCTTCGCTGCGATTGGCCCGGCCGGACCCACCCGGCAGCAATCTCACTTCTGATTGGATTAAACTTCCGGCCGCTCCGGGGGGCGAATGAGGAGCAGTGGTGTTTTCGTGTGCCAAGATGGCGGCGCTCAGTGCCGCTCCCGTGGAAGGCCATGGCGGGGAGTGAAGCCTGAGGCAGCGGGGCCGGGCCGGGGCCACGGGCGCGGACGGGGATGAGGTGACGCCGCCATGGCGAGCGACGGGGGCAGGAAGCAGTTCTGGAAGCGGAGCGGCGCGAAGGTGCCGGGCAGGTAAGCGGCACCGCGGGAAGGTCGGGGCCCAGGACGGCGGTGCTGGGCCGCGGGGGGTGGCGTTGCCCCGTCTGGCCGTCCGGCATCGCTGCCTCCACAACACCGCGTTCTTGCTGCCCAGTTCAGCGGGACCCCGCAGGTCCCATGTGTCCCCCCTGCACGGACCGTGCGCGGTCGGTCGCTGCTCCAGCCCGGTGCCTTGTGAGCTCCTCGCCCGGAGCCTCCCGGCGCGGGCACCCCCGGGGGCCTGGGGGAGATGCTGGTGGTCGCAGTAACAGTTAGTTATAACTTGTATCACAAATTGTTAAATAATTATCTGAATGTGCGCTCCCAGCCTGACATCGTGGTTAAAAGAGTCAGCGTGATTCTGGGGATTGGTTCGCCGGGAGATTTTGAGTGGGAGAACGTGTTTGGCTCTCGGCAGCGGTACAAGTCAGGATATTTTGAAACTTGATACAAGTTGTGGTGTTTTTTAAATGCTTTGCAGGAAAGTGGATTTTCTGGGCATAGAGACAACTTTTAGTTTCTGTCGGATATTTCCGAATATCATCAGTTTCTCGACGGTCTTCCTGAAATGTGAGCAGCAGACCAGTCGTTGTGTCGTTGCAAAGAACTAAAAGACATATTCTCCCATTCAAAGCTTTCCAGGGCTTCAGCTTCTCTGAACTCTCGTGACCATTATATCAGGCTGGGAATGCATGTTCAGATGATAGTTTAGCGATAACCTTCTCTGCTCTTATCCCTGAACTGTTCTCACAGTGCAGTTTTTTTATGTTCTTTTTGTAAGAATGGTGTGTATTTGTGGTTCTCTGTACTTTGTACCATTTACCTGAATTCAACAACACATCCTGCTCATCATTTACCTTCTTACGTTTTCAGTGACCCATAAGCCCTGACTGGAAATGGCTTTGTTTCTCTAGTTATAAACTAACTTTTTCAGTCCAGCTGTTGTTGTTCCTCTAAGCCTTTTACTTTGTAACTTTGCTGGGTCCCTTGAGGGTAAAACATTTTTGACTCTTCTCCATTGCGCAGGGTCTATGAATAGGTGCAGTTAATTTGCAGGCAACTGCAGGCGTGTGGCAAAACAAGGACACTGTGGAGAATGTGCTTTTGATTTTCATTTCTTTTTTTTTTATGGCATGGAGAGGATTGTTGTTGCTTTATATTTGTGTGGATTTCCATTGTGGGTATTGATAGAGCAGTGTAAGGAAAAGGCAGATTCTGTGTGGAAATGGACAGTGACACTTGAGCCTCATGTGAAGGTAGAGCAAGAAACACAGAGACTTGACTGTGGAGAGCATGGAATACAGTCATGTGGAAAGCCTGGTGGTGGACTGACTTTTTTTTTCCATCGAATCACATAAAAATCATCAGAATTTTTATAAACTACCATTCTTAGTCACTGCAGGGCTAATTTCACTACTGTTAATGCTGCCCCTGTCCTGTGAGTCAAAGCCTCTCTTAAAATTTGTTATGACTACAGTTTTTTTGACTTGGTTCTATCTCAGGTTTACTAAGCTTGGACTTATTTATATTTCTGGTCTGGAGATTGTTCTTTATTTGTCAGGAGGCCATGTTTATCTTCTTTTATGAGGTTTTTGGTACAGGTTTAGGTAGATGCTAATGTTGCATATGATTTGTTTCTCTTACAATCAGAATTTTGTAGTAATAATTGCTATTATGAAGCCATATGTAAATTTGATGTGTTTTCTGTGGAGTATTTTAGTTAAAAATAATTTTATAGCTGATAACTGGGAGATAATGAACTTTTAGTTTGTAGGGAATTTTGTTTTTCACACAATAACATGCTGTTTTATGTTAGACACTGTAGTGAATAAATCTATCTTTGGAAGCCTATTTGTTTCAAAATATTTTTTAATACCTCTATGGCTTTTATTCTCTAACATGGCACCGTTTGCATTTTTCTTTGAATTTGTCATCCTTTTACTTTAGTAGTGGTTAAGAATTGTCTGTTTGGATTTTGGGTGACAAGGGTACACAGAAGATTAAATCTTTACAGATATTTCTTTGAGAATTAATTTTTTTTGCAAGAGACAAATGAAGAAATGATGAATCAGAGAAGAGAATTTTAAAGCAATGTAGATTCTTACTGCAGAGTTAACTTATTTCTTGTTTTAATTCCTGGTCAGAAAAATAAGATAGACTAAGTTGGTTTAGTTCTCACAAAGATCTCCTATTTGGCAAATCTATGATTCTTATTAAGTAACATTTTAGTATGCACATGAATTGCAACTTCGCTATTTTTGGTGGTATGTGGAATTCTTTGAAAGAGAAAACTGTTGGAACATTTCAATTCTGTTTATTATTTACTATTTAATACACAGAAACCCTCCAAATATTTATTACTTTTGTGATAACTCTTTCTTTTCCTTTAGTATTCAACATGTATATGGAGCTCAGCATCCACCTTTTGATCCATTATTGCATGGAACGTAAGTTAATCTGTTATTTAAATATTCCAGGTATTTTGGATTTCCAGTTATTTTGTCATCTCTTTTTTTTTTTCCCCCTGTTGGCTGTTAAGTTTGTTGTTAATCTTACTTTTTCAGTTTTAGTCATAATCTTGACTTCCCTGTTCTGACTTCTCTTTTGTGACTTCCTGATGCTTACCACATTGGGAGCTCAGCTCTTAACTAACGCAGATAACCAACTTTTAATATTTATTTGAAATACCCTATACATGGGAAATTATGATAAGGACAAAAAAAAGTGTTATAAGGACGAATATTGGTTTGGAAGGACCTTGTGCTTCTACTAGACTTCTTTTCAAGGGCTGTTTTAAAATGGTACAAGAAGTAAAAATTCTGGTTAATTTTCAGATAATACAGAGTTGAAGGCAGTTTAAATGTGTGATTTTGAGGGCTGAAGTAAAAGAAATGGGATTAATTCTTTCAATATACAGACTCATAAAGAGTAACAAAAACTAGAAGCTTATTGCTTGAAATGGCAGAATTGGAGGAAGACCTTGCTGTTTTAGACAGTGATGACAAGTTGGGCCAAAGAGTAAGTGTTATAGCACCTGTTAGGGAAGATATTCCCTGTAACATGTAACAGAAACTCTACTGAAGTTGTATGAGGACTCCGTGAGAGCTTTTTCTGAGTTGCAATTCTGCCTGCCTTATTGTAACAGAAAAAATGATAAACTAGCACAGGTGGGAAGACAGGGATGGTCAGAAACATACTCAAGAATGGTATTGCCACAGTTCCATGCCATGTGTTCAGGATGACCCTGCTTGAGCAGGGAGGTTGGGCCAGATGACCCACTGTGGTCCCTTCCAACCTGACCCATTCTGTGAAAAGCTCAGTTAAGATACTGGCAGTAACTTTTTTATTTTTTGAGAGCAGACTAAGAAACCTTCTGAATTTTATACCTTATTCACTGAATTCTGAAGGGAGATGTAATTGCTCTGCATTATCTTCAGTGAGACCAAGTGCCAGGTGAGGGAGTGATATTGGTTCATATCTCACACTGCACATTGATAGAGGGACAAAAGGTTAGGAGCTGATCAGGGTCCACTTAGACTAGTAAGTAGAGGAGATATCTTGCCTGTGGGAAGAGCAAAGTTCTGAAACAAATCCACGCTGGCATGCCTGAATAGGGAGGAATGATAGATTTAATAAGTTTAAGGTGAGACTTGATTTGTTTATGACAGTGGTTGTATTGCATGATTGCTTATGATGACTTAGGAGTAGACCATGACTTGATTATGGCTCCTGTGCTGTTATACAGCAGTTGCATTGAAAGGGATGAAACCTCTACAGAAATTTATGAAGCAAGAGCAGTGCAATGTGTCCTGTCTCTTTTGTAAGCTATTTTAGTGGTAATCCTTTTATTTGACTTGGGGGTTGGTCTTTTTTTTTTGTTTTCTTTGCACAAGGAAAGGAAAGATTTGTTCAGCTTCTATTCAAAGCGAAGAAGAGTCAGTTTTTACAGCCCTTGTTCTCAGACTTCTTCAGCTGTGTGTTATCATGGATGGATGTAGCAGTAACATGAGTGCAGGGAGATAAATATTTTCTACCTATATAGTATCGAGTATGTACTTTTGCTTTTTAGTCCTATTCATAGCTTCATTACTAGTTTTCTAAATATTGTTTATTTGGTTTTGAACAGCTTGGTAAAACCAGGTTCAAAGCCTCCTACAACTCCAGTGAAACTGAAGAAAGTCAGCACTTTCCAAGAATTTGAAAGTAACACAAGTGATGCCTGGGATCTTGGGGATGATGATGATGAACTGTTAGCAATAGCTGCTGAAAACTTAAATACAGAAGTGGTCATGGAAACAGCTCACAAAGTAATTCAGAATCACAGCAAGCTACAAGAACAGCATAAATTTCAGGAAGAACATCTACAGGAAGAAAAACAAGAGGAATTTGCACAGCTGACTTCAGTTGCATGTGGTGATAATAGGCTTGTTAAATCAGTCAGTGAAGGTCATACAGCGAGTGCATCAGGTATATTAAAAAGTGAAAAAGATGTTGAAAGTTAAATGAAGAGAGCTATAATATTTGCCCTGTAAAACAGTAGCCACTTCCCAACATTTTCTTAATACCACAGGAGAATACTGTTTATTAACATTGATTTGTTTGAGGGAGAGACTGCATGCCATACTAAACCATAATGTATGTGTGAGAGAAGTACATGTGAGGCAAGAATAATTAAACTTCCTTTGTTTTCAGCCTTAATAAATCTTCAGTTTTGGAAGGAACTTCCACTATTGAATGTATTTTACTGGTTGGATGCACCAAGATGTATGCAATTAATAGTAACGATAACGTGAAAAATTGTTATTAAAATAGTACTGTATAAAATATATTGAAAAATTGGAGAAAATCATGCATGTGGACTGGGAAATTCACTCTTGTGATCTGGTCTGTGGTTTATGTATAAGCTTTAAAGTAACCAATTGCAGTGATTTCTCAGTTTGTTTTTTTCTCAATTTGTTTTTTTAAAGAATGGCAAGGGGAATATGAGCAGCTTTTGGGAATACAGAGATTTTTAGAAACCCATTAGCCTTGATGTTAGTATGATCTCTCATTTAGGTGTTTTAATTGGGGAATACTGCTTGAAAGAGGAATGCTGCTTCTGCTATATCAAAGTAATTTGAAGTCCAAACTTATGCTGTACTTGAGTTTGCATTTTTCAAAAACAGAATTCAAGTGATTAGTAGCCTTCTTACTAGCTGAGGCTAACTGCTAGCTGCTTCTTTTTCCCCTCAGATAATGCAAGTGAAAATTCTTCCATGCAGAGATCACAGTCACTTCCACAAACGTCCACACCTCCCTTGGTGAGTGGGATGGGAGACTACAACACCTCAGTTACTCCTGCATTAACTGAAAGAGAAGCATCCCGATTAGACAAATTTAAGCAGCTACTTGCTGGCCCCAATACAGATCTTGGTGAGTGTTTCTTATAGGAGCTATGAAATACATCTAAATTATTCTTAAGCTATAGAATTTTCCTGTTTGATGTGTTGTCTGCCTGACTGTTTGGTTAGGATCTAATCCTTTCAACATTTAGAATTGATCTTGCAAAAGAAAGACGGAATAAAATTGAAAGCTTCTAATATTCACACTTTAATAAGTGATTTGTGTACATCCTTCTAATATGTAGGGTGTTCGATGGCTTCTTGTTCTTTCTCAAATTATTTCCTCCTACTAGACTAATCTCTGGAGAAAAAAACCCAAAGTATAATTAGCTGTGCGTATTGTTAATGCCTGATAATGGAACAGCATGGAGTATGAGTGATTTTCATGCTTAGAAATAAATAGAAATGTGAGAGACGATGAGGCGTGTAAGTATTGCTGCTTGTCTACTCAGTGAGCATTCTTCATGTTCACAGGCTGATACAGTAGTTCTGTGTCTCATCTGTGAGTGCTGACAACATGCTAATGTGAAAACAAATGTATTGTCAGATAACTTGACTGTTCCCTTTGTGCACTGGATTTTAGCTGCTGAATAGTCAATACAAGTGCTGAGAGGGTATCACAGAATCAAATGGCCTTGTACCCCAAGTGAAAATCTGGAGTAAGTAGAATTAGTGTACTGCATGGAGAACTTTGTGATTAGAAGGAGAAGTTTATGGCAAAATAATTAATGTCTTTGAGGTAGACCATTCTGGAAGATATCTGCAGGATATCTACTACAGAAGGAAGTAGAAATTGCATGTTTGCAGGTCTTGAATTGGTGTCTCCTGCTCGGTAGTTGTCATGGTACTTCTTCAGTGTAATGTAGTCCAAGTTGTGGCTTTTTTTTTTTCTTTTTGTGCTGTGTCTTTTTGTGAGATTGATGCTAGCAAAGTGCAACTGTGGAAACAATCTGAACTGGACAAGACTTAGCACTTCAGTGAGTTATAGGACATTCTTATGAAATGCAACTGTGCATAAAGTGAGGTGTTAAAATGTTACACATTTTTCATGAGCTCAAAAATGATAATCAAATATCACTTTTTCTCCCTTTGATCTAACAGATGTTATGAGTTATGTGACTGACTGAGATGAAAACTCATAGTTTTTAAGAATATTGTAATGGTAAAAATCTTTGTTACGTAAGGTTACAAAGTCAGAAGACAGAGTTTAATTTAAAACTATCCATTTTGCTTGTGCTGTCTAATTAGTTGGGAATACTTTCCCAGTAAATCAGATTTATTAATCGGATTAAAGTAAAATAATTTTGCAAGAAAATTTCCAGTCTTAGTAGCAGTGCAATCACCCTGCTGATGGTGAGCTTAGTCAGTGTTTTTTAAACAAACTGGGTTTGTTTGTTTTTTTCCCTATTGAACTTCATAAATCTCAGACTGAAATATAGGATATGAAATTTGAGTACGTTTGCTTGATATTAAAATGTGAAAAATATTTAGTAAGCTCTCAGTATTATTTCCTGTACAAATCACTAAATAATGCCTTTTCTAGGTCTGTTTTTAGGAAGCTTGTTCTTTCTCTTGCTGTGCAAAGCAATCAGTACAGAATTTGAAGTTGTGTGAATATATATATTTATAATGATTTTTCTTAGTGAAAGAAATAAATTTTATTGATGACATGCAAACTCTTGGTCATGAAGCTATTAGGAGTAGATCATATATGATAGTAGTGCTTGGACTACATTATTGGTATATATTTGGGAAAGTGTCTATGCATGTATACATGCAAATATGTATATACTTATTACCATATGTACAGTTCATTGGAATCTGGTGTGTACCTGCGCATATGCATTTTAAAAGTATGCATTTTTGGAAAATGCTTGGTTTAGCTCTGTGCTACAATGAAGACTGTATTTAAGAAGAATTCTTGATTTATAATGACAACATTACACTGGGAAACTGTTGTGTATTATGTGTGGTGGTTTTTTTCATTTCTTGTTGGAGTGTTTTTTTTTTTTTTCCTATTTTTCTTCAGAGCAATACTGTAAATGGACTAAGGTAGAACTAGGCAACAGGCTCCAAGCTAAAATTTGTACTGAATAATGTAGGGTCAGATACCTATTCTGTTGCAACTGGCTTATTCTGTTTGTGTGTGTGTGGTGTTGTGGTGTTTGTGGGTCTGTGTTGTGTTAGATCCACAGAGACTTGGGTTTTGGTTTTCATGATGAATTGAATTAGTAAGACTTGGAGACATTTTTGCAAATATTTCTGTTCATTTCTGCAAGTATTAGTATTTGTTTTGCTTAGAAGTAAGAGAAGTAAAGTATTTCTTTTGTCTTGTTTCCTTGATATAGTTTTGCATATTGTTAGAATAGATTATGCGACAAGTCCTTTCAAAGCAATATAAAATAAAGTTAATCTGTGGAACTGTAGCCATGTCATGCACATTTTCAGCTCAAGACTTTTCGCTTATCATAACATAAGAAATCAGCTTTAACTGTGAACACAAAGTAATACAAATGACCTTGAAATCCTTTCAGTCACGTTTGAATAATCATTATCCTATAAAGACAGTGTAAAATACAATGTTAGTCTTGTATGTCAGCTAAAGGTTGTGAAAGAATGTGTTCTTTCACAAGAAAACTCTCAAAATGATGGACTATGTGTATAAATTTGAAAGTGAAGATTATTTTAGCCACCAACAGATTTTGAAGTTGGGTTTGGTCCACAGGTTGGATGTTGTGAACTTGTGGAAATAGGTAGGTTCTACCAACCCCATCAAATAATATACCAGGTATAGACTGTAATTGGGATATGAATCCACTGGTAAATATTACATAAATATATAATGACAGAGTCATTATCAAAGTTTCAATGTACAGTTTTGTCCAGCAGGTGCTTACGTATACAAATGGTTATTAGAGCGAGGCATTATCTGAGAACATGAACTAGGAAAGGAATTGAAAAAAACACCCCAGAATTCTCAGAATATAAAATAATTAATTTTTAGATTATTTTATTTATGAATAAAGAGCTTATTTCCATGGCTCAAAAGTGCCCTTAATTAATTTTTAATATTTTGTAGAGCTGAACTAATCAACTCATGCTTATAATTTATAATTGCCCTAGTAATTGTTCTGTGTCTTCCTTTAAGACCTCCGAAGACACTTCTCTGTCCTGCAGGCATTTTTATTGTTTGTATAATAAATACATGCAAATAATATGCCTTACTTCCATTTGGCACTTTTTATTTGACTATTGCTATGTTATTACCTATGTTATAAATGGGGACAGAATAATGTGAATTGGATCTCAAGAGCAGTTAGCTGTATGAAAAAAACCCTATTCCTATAAAAATGTTTCTTCTAGGTATATGTTTTGTGCTGCAAGAGAGAGGTATTCAATGGCCCTAGCAATTTACCTTCAAGTAGTAAAATAATGCAAAGAATGGGGAGATAGTCTCATAAAGTTAGTTACAGAACAAAAATTGCTAAACAAGTAGAAGCATGTTACTGCAAGAAATGTGGGCTGATGGAAGGAGCCTGTTGTAACAAGCGGTTTTGGTTGGTGAGGGACTTGAGGACTGACCCGTCAATTAGATCACATTAGGTGTACTGAATGCAAATTCAGGAAGCAGGATAGGACTGTTGGTAGTATTGCTGGTTTTAGTAGACAACTGCAGAGTGGACTGCAGGGTCTGTGTGTCTGTGTAGCCTCCCACTCCTGGTACTGCATGCCAGGTTATTCAGAAGGAACAATTTGCAGCAGTTGTTTTGTGCAATCAGCCTGTGCTTATGCTTGACTTGCAGTCAAGATGTAGACTTACTTAATTTCACGCCTTGTCCTTCCTTGCAGTGGAGCTTCTGTCACTGAGTGAAGGTGGGATTGCAGAATCTTTTGCGAACAATTGGTTGCTTTAAGAGGAGGGGATGGGACTGTAACAAAGCAGCATAGAGAGAGTGTCTCTGGGAAGAAATTTCTTTCCTTCAACAGACACTTTGTACATAGAGGAACAGTACTTCTATGTCTGTCAGTTTTCCAATTAAAGTTCAATTCTATTAAATTTGTTCAACTTGTGCTTTCAAGTAGTCTTGCACAATGTTTTGGGGAGCTGTTTACATGTGTAAACAATGTAAGCAGATTATGTTCATAAAATCAGATGACATCAACAAACAAGTTGTTGCAGCCTCAGCATAGCAGTTGTATGATGGGTGTTTTAATATCAATTTAAAAATTAGCCTATTAAAGCACTTACTTAATTCCTTCTTTATCTTAAAATCAACTAATTTTCTGATTTTTTTACACTATATGTCTAATGAGTATGTAATTGGATGTCAGAAACAAGCAACAACCAACAGTGAGCTTGGTGTACTGTATTTTTCTGATTTAATAAGGCTTCACAATGTCGTAATGCTACTGTTATGCAACATAACACGTATATAATTTTTTTTTAGAGTCAAACCAACTAATTTCTTAAGTTGTAAAGCTGTTTTGCTTGTTAAGGTCACTTTTCTTACTACTTAGTCATGACATACTCCAAGTAGAACAAAATAATATATGGAAGTTTTAGCATACTACTTTGATAAAAATAATAGAAGGCTCTGTAAAAGCACCCATGAAAATGGTAAGGCATTCCCATCTTAAATTTATTGATATTGCTGTGTCATGTTCACATTCAACAGCACTTCTCATTGCATTTTTTAAACCTCATCTATTTCTTTTCCTCATTGTAACAAAATTTCAAAAAAGAGATTTCATAGAGTACCAGTAGCTGCTGAATCTTGCGCTCTCTTAGGTAGTATTTTGCTATACAATTAGTAGATTGCTGTGAAGTCTTACAGAACATGTAAAGGATAGCCAAACTCTTGATATCTGATGGCAGAAAATAATTACATAGTTTTACAGGAATTAAAAATGATGTTATCTCAAGTTATCTCATAACAATAACTAGTTGCCTGTGTGTACTATAATAAAAGAATTGTAAGACGGTTCTCTAGAAATTAAATTCAGAAAGAAAAGTTCTCATCACAGTGGGAA